AAGATGATTCACCTATAGTCACTTTAAAAGTGATTGGATGAATCAGGTCCTAAATCCAGGGTGACTCAGAAGCCACCTGGTACCTGCTACCTTAAGAATTCTATCAGTTCCTTGAGGAGTGGCATCCCGTCATTTCCTTCTCATTAAGCCCAGGCCTCTTGTACGTAGTTGGAGCTTAGTAATTTTTAATGGAATAATGAGTGCATATATGGAACAGCTAAATAATGAGCCAGACTGTTCATTTACAGAGGCTGACTAAGAATAGGACCCATTGTCTGATTTTTAGTTCAAGATACTGGCCTGCCAGTGTAGCTGAGCCACTGAACTTGCTAACTTTAATTGTTTTCTCTGCTAATATTTCATATCCATTGTTTTATATGATCACTATTGTACTTTATGCTCTTACATCTTATTTGGCTTGCGACAGGAAGTGTGATTTTAAACATACCACTGAGGGAAGAGATAATGCTTTGTAACCCTCGATGGGATTGCCCTAAGAGACGTTCCACTAAGATTGTGTCAGGAAAGATATAGCCAAGAACCAAATACAAATTTTAACAGATGCAACATCTTCTGTTTGAAAAAAAGAACACAACAATCCAGAGCATTAGAAATGTGTTTATATTAAATAGGATGTTGATAGCACTATGATTATTTACATTTAGATGTGGATGAAACAATTGATAATCATAATCATAACTTATAATCCATAACTTTTGGAAGTATAAACCATTACAACTATTCCTAGAAGTCTGTTCAGAAGTTGCTGGGTAATACTCAGGATGCATTCTTTCCTTCTTCCCTCATAACAGAATCCTGACTTTTTTTTGGGTGGCAATGTACGTTCCTTGCAGCTAACTACAGCTATATAACTAAATTGTGGACAATGATACAAGTATAAAGTATTGGATAAAATTTCTGGGACAGAGAATTAAGCACAATTTTCAATTTAAAAATATTACCAAATGAAGGATAGAAGGAAACGTTCTTGTTTTGATAGGGAAATAAAAATGCTAACTAATATAATTAATGAAGAATAATCATAATTCCCCACTAAGGACATAAATAAGATTATCTCATCTTGCCACATCTACTTACACCTTCTTATCAGCGCACCGAGGCCAGAAAGAGAAAGAAGGGCATGGGTATCAGAGGCGGAAGCTGCTGTCACAGGTGACATGATCATGCACTCAGACAATCCGAATAAATGTACACACTTCCAATCAGAACGGATAAGAAAATGTAGCACAGTTTCAGGATTTAAAAATCAATATATTTTAACAGATTATCAACAAATTATTGAAAATGGAATTAAAAATATCATTTAAAAATAGCATAAAAAATTAAATACCTAAGAAGATATAAATTAAAAGAAGGATAAGATCTTGGTCCTGATAATGACAAACCATTACTGACTGAAAGCAAACAAAATCCAAGTGAATAGTGATATACGTATGCCCAATGACTGGAAGGTTTAATATTTTTTTAAATGTCAGTTCTCCATATATTGACTTAGGGTTTCCACACAATCCAAAACAAAACAAGAAATTGAAAAGCTAATTTTAAAATTTATATGGAAACGCAAAGGACCTAAAATAGCTATAACAACACAAACAGTAGCCAATAATCAAAACAAGAAGGTACACGACTTTGAAATTAAGTCCCAGTGAAGACAGTAAGGCATTGATAGCAACAGGAGTGCATTCAACGGGCCATATGGAGAGACGAGGGCGTCTAGAAATAGACTTACACGTACAGGATCAATACCAAAAAGGCATCATGAAAATTCAACAGGGAAAGAAAAATCTTTCATAACAAGTAGTAGAACAACAGTGTGGGTTTGGGGGCAAACATATTAACTTATGGTATCAGCAGCTGATAGTTTGTAACAACAAGCCTTTAGCTGCCAAATACTTAAATATGATATCAAATTCGTTGTTGAAATTGGATTGAGGAAAAAAATGTCTATCTGCTGCTCAGTGGGTAAAATGACCTAATGATTTATTTCTATAAATATTTCAATCTATTTAGTACAATAACCATGAAATTAAAAATTGATAAATTCAACTTCATCAAAATTAAACATTTTTTCATAACAACAACAAAAAGTGTAATTAAATAAAAGCACCAGTCACAACCTCAGAACCTATCTGAGAAGCATATATTTGACAAAGAACTCACATTCAGAATATATAAAGACCTCTTACAACATAATATGAAGACAAAAAACTAACTTTCAAAATAATAGGCAAAGGATTTGTGAGGATATTTAACAAAATTTGATGCAAGAATGACAAATTAGCATGGGTGAAGATGCTCAGTATCATTGACTATTCAGAAAGGCAAACTAAAACCACAATGAAATGCCACTATACATCTATTAAACCCCGGAGTCAAACCCACTGCCGTCAACTGGATTCCGACTCACAATGACCCTCTAGAGAAGTCTCCCAGGCAGTAAATGTCTATGGGAACAGATAGCCTAACTTTCTCCCTCGGGGTGGCTTGTGCGTTCGAACTGTTGACCTTCTGGATAGCCACTGAAGCTTACCCCACATCACCACTAGGGCTCCTTTATACATCTATTAGAATGGCTAACGTTAAAAAGACTGACCACGGTGTTACCAAGGATGGAGAGCAACGGGAACCCTCGCAGATTCAGGACATAAAAGGGCACAGCCACTTTCTAAAGGAGGTATGGTCATTTTTATTAGTTAAACATATACTTACCACACAATTCAGCAATTCCACTACCGGATAACATCTAGCCACAAAAAATGAAGACGTGGTGCAATGATCATAACACCATTTTTCATGATAACCCGAAACAGAAGCCAAGCAAATTCCCATCCAGGGGAGAATGAATAAGCAAACGGAAGCAAACCCAAGCACTGGAGCATTTCTTAGCAACAAAAGGAACTATCACTTAGCGTCACACAACGCTATAGATAGAGCTCAGCAACACTTTTGACTGTGGTTTCAACACAGGCAGATATAAAATAGCACTAATTGTATTGTTCACATTTTACGAAGCCCAAGAATAGGCAAAACCAATCTAAAACATATCAGAAAGTGGTTGCTTCTGTGGAAGGGGTAGAACGTCACTTTCTGAGATGATAGAAATGTTCTCCATGTAACTTCTACAGGCTGCAGTAAATAGATAAATAACAACAACAAGAACAAAACGTAAACTCGCTGATATCGAGTCAATGCCGACGCACGGTGACCCTAGCAGACAAGACAGGACTGCCTCTGTGAGTTCTCAAGACTGCCGTTCTTTTTGTCTTTCTCTCATGAAGTGACTGGTGGTTTTGAACCATGGACCTTGCAGTTAGAAGCCCAACATATTTATAACCACTATGCTACCAGGGCTCCTTTCCATAGGTGTGTTCAATTGTTTAAACTCATCCAACTGAACATATCTGATGTGCCCATTTTATTGCCTGTCAATTATACCTTAGAAGGAGGTGTACAGACAGCTTGCATGTACCTTTGATTGAAATGCTCGGCATTTCATCTTTCTTCCTATCTGGAATGAAGGATTATTATCCTACCAGTCTTGAATTGCCTTTCTCTAGATTTCTTTGATGTTTGAAAAAGTCTAAAAACCTCTCTTGTTTCAGTCATTATCTCTGATACTTGCAGTTGATTATAGTTCCTAACAACTAGTTACAGTCAGTGACGAATTCCTTTCATGGCCAAATATTTTGATTCAATGGGATTCTAGTTTGGAACCCCACTAAAATGGTTTAAAATGCTACTTAAAAAATGACTCATCTTTTATACAGATTAATGCCTTTGGTGTATAAATGTATTCAAAGGCAATATATGTTTGGGGAAATTTTCACATAAACTGGATGCATAGTGGCTATAGACTTGGCTGGGGACCGAGCTAAGTCTTGGTGCAGTTTGTCAGTTAGTCATGTGTCTTTGGGCAAATGAAGCTTCCACTGATTAATCACGTCGCCTTGGGCAAATTACTAGCCTCGCAGAGCCTGTTACTTCCTCTGAGGGTAGGAATTATGAAACCTGCTTTAACCTGCTGTTATTGTGAAGATTAAATGAGGTCATGTGTATAAAACCTTTAGCCCAGAGTCTGGCACAAAGCAAAAGTGACCTATAAAAGCTATGGGCATGAAATCATTTGATTTTGAATATGCCATTGATGGCACGGGAAAGTTATCCAAAATCGGTTTACCCTGGATCATCACCTGGATAATACTTAGTTTTACTTTAACAAGTAGAGCCACCACTCCTCTGTGAGTGAAGGCTTAGAGGTTGCTATGATGCTGAACAGGTTTCAAAAGAACATCCAGACCAAGAAAGGACTTGGAAGAAAGGCCGGGTGATCTACTTCCAAAAATTCCCATGTGATAACCCAAAGGATCCCAGCAGTCCCATCCCATTGTGCCTGGGCTTCTTAGGCTCTGGGAACTGTGGCAGCTAACACCATCTACAACAGCACAGTATAGCTGAGTTACAGCCTGATGTCCTAGTGCAAGCAACAATGCCTCTCTCAAAGCAGTTTTGTTTTTTTTTAAAGTTCACATTTTCCAAAATAAGTCAGAGGAAGCCACAAAGAATATAACTTAGGCAGCTGTCCCTGTGATGGAGAAAAATGCTCTAAGAAAGAATGATTCTTTGGTCATCATGGATCCAAGTCTCGGGAGGACTGGGCATGGTCACCGTCCATTGGCACACTCCACTCCAGGGGACCCTGCACTGAAAGACTTGGTCCAGTGTCTGCAGAGCACAAAGCCAAGTTTGCCACATCCTGACCTACACAGGGAGGCAGATACTACAAATTCTGCCAGCCCCCGAGGTTAGCACCATGTAATTATGGTGACCTCACCTTAGCTCCAAATAACCAAGTAACGAGAGAGGGCCAGACAGGAGAGAGATCGCAGGGGATTTGCAAGCTCCCAGCAAGTGCAGGCCCCCATGAAGCTATCTCTCTGGAAAATCAGTGCACAAAAAATGCCGAAGAATTATTTACTTACCTGCAAGGGTTGGCGATTTCTTCTGGTGTTGTTTTCATAAAAGGGGAGACGGGTTTTTCCACAAAGGAGCCAAAGCCAAGTCTAAAGTTGCTAGTTAATTTAGACATCTCTTTAGAGAGCAGGGAGCCGAGCTCTTTAATTGTGTGCAGGTCGTCATCCATGGAGGCGGAGAGGTCCATGAGGTAATACAAGTCCACTGGGTAGTCCTCGGTCTGGCGGACGTGCACCTGCAGGGTCTGCTCACCACCTGCAGAGCCCCCCAGCCCCCCGGAAACGTGAAGACATGAGAACATACAGCGTTTGATTTGTAACTCACCGGTCCCTGGGCCACCTGGGTATTCCATTTCAATAAGAACGTACCAAAGATACCTTTGAATTCATGAGCTGTGTAGTAAATGGACAAGCTCATGAAAGTCTCTCACTGGTGAGTGTAGAACTGCCAACGGAGGGGTACGCTGGGATATTTTATAGTTCCTAGGGAGGACTAGTCTCCATTTAGATGCAAGATAAGCGAACTCTGTGTGTGTGTGTGTGTGTGTGATATTATAGAAAAGGAGAGCAACAGAAAGTGGATTTGAAAGCTACATTCAACCCGAGGGTGGGGTGGGGTGGGTGAAGTCAAGTTGAACAACATTCGGGTAATTGAAAGGGTGACTATTAGAGAAGGGTGTTTTCGGGGTTTTTTGTTTTGTTTTTTAAGTAACGCATGTGGAGTGTAAGTGATTGTTGTGAATTAGGACATATTAACCTTGCAAGCCTCCATTTCCTTAAGAATGGAATATTTTCGTCTCAATAATCAATAATACAAATTACAATGCAAGATATATTGGCAGTCCTGATATGTGAAGTTATTCTTACATGCACCGATGCAGGATAGAGATTCGCTTGTACTGTCAAGAAATTAGAACATACCTGGTCTTAATTTAAGAACCAAGCTCTGAGGTGTAATCTGAACAATGTCGGAGCTGTTTTTCTGCCTTCCAACACTGAGAGGCTTATCTTTCAGTATTTGTACTTGGGAACTGGGATTTTCGATGAAGGTTAATTGACAGCCTTTAGCAAAAAGATTGGCTGGGGTGTCACACCTGTCACCTGCTCCAGATGCATGCGTAAAATTCTAAAAGAGAAAAGAACAATAAAGCGCGTAAGAGATCTAAATCTGCATTTCCTTATGGTAATAACAACAGCCTTTTTATGGGTTGGTGGGGGAGGGGACTTGGCATCTTGTGACAGCATGTATGTCCTATTTCTACATACCTGACATTGATTATAGGTCTAGAGTTAAGTGATAGCAGAATAGCCAGAGAATTCTGCCAGTAAACTTAGGAGTAAGATAGATGTCTTTATTTAACAATATCCAACTGAATTCACATTCATAGTCACTATCTTTTCAATGTTTACTTCTCTAAAATTTTGGGTTTTAGGACCCATTTCTCTGGTACCATGATCAGATCTTTGAAATGGTTGACTTGGTAGACACTATTTGTGAATTTATCTATCTATAGGTTACACCTATAGACTCATGGAATTCTAGGAAAGTTTGCCAATCCAAATCCAAAGACAAAGACAGCCTCTTTTCGGCTTCCGATTCCTGAAGGACAGAAAATTGATAACATCTGTCTCTCTAGTACCCTATACCCACGCTTGTTCATTGATGAATTAGCCTTAGAGTACCACATGGATTCCCTACTGTTGACCCTGGCTGGTGGGACACAAATCAAAGTCGGGGATTTTAAACTCAATGTTGTCAGTGAACCGTGCTTTAGGAGTGTCTGCACTATTTGGAGAAATGGAAGAGAAAGAAAAGAGAAGGTGATTTCGAAGACTGCTTTTTGCAGGATAACCAAGATGTTCTCGGTGCCCATCAGATCCTCTCTGGTCTGCCAGGAAGACAGTGATATGCAGCACTTTCGGTGCGGAGAGATCAGACCAAAGGAGGTCCGTAAACCCTGCAGTGCCCAGAACAGAGGGAGACGCTGGGGGAGCAATCCCAGGCGTAGCCCACAGTCACAGTGCCCTAGAGCTGACTGGACTCTGGGCAAAGGGAGCTTGAGGCTTGTTGACGCATAGTTGGAGAGGAAGCCAACTGATACTTGTGCTGCTTTATCCTCATCCTTTAGAATTCGAAGCCACCCCCGCTGTGTTCACGTATTAGGAAAGTTATATTCCTGCTAAAATAATGATTTCATTTGATGAATCTCTTTTACTGTTGTTATTAGTGAGGGCATACCCAGCCAGACATTCACCAATTCGACGATTTTTTTTTTCATGTACAATTCAATGACATTGATTACATGTCATCAAGTTGCGTAATCCTTCCCACGCTCGTTTTCTGAGTTGTTCCTCTTTGATTGCCACAAAACTCACTGTCCCTTTAGGTCCCTATCTATCGAATCTTCGGAGTTGCTGATCATTTGATCCTATACATAGGTCTTAAAAGAGCATGAAGCTTAAGGCAGGCTTTATTTTTAAACGAGTTATCTAAACTATTGTTTGGCTCTAAAAAGTGAAGTTCATTTCCCAACATTACAATTTATGATCATTAAGTTAGGCCCGGGCATATTTGAAGTCCTAGGTCAGACACAGCCCACTCTGCAGTTCCCCACGATGCCTCCAAGGTCAACAGTGGTGATAGTAATCATCTGAGCAGCCGAAGAACTCAGGATCCTTCTCAACAGTGTTACCCTCACCACCTGTAGTCACAGATTTTGCCAAAAGATCAGTAGGGTGTTAACTATAAAAGGTGCTTTATAGCTCCTCTAAATGGAAATCCAATTTATTTTTTATTTACTTCAGCTGCCTCTACTGATAAACTAATAACTACTTCTACTATTAGCCTGGCCTCTTAGAATAATCTGTCTCTAAAATTTGATGACAATTCATCTACCAAGTATTATCCACAAATAATGTAGTCATTAGCAACTTAAGAAGCTCTCTTACAATAATGCTAAAACTGCATTTAAATGAAAATTCTGGAAGCAGGCATTTTGCTAGATTGATTTATTTTATGTCTCTAGCATAAAATTAATACTATCTTCTTCAGGAAATTGAAGTTCAAAATATATGTAGATTTTAGTTTTCTTATGTGGATATTCTCGACTGACTTTTGATGCATAAGCTCAAAAAAGCAGGATTCTTTAGAATCTTAATTGTGCCCCATTGGGACAAGGCAACAATTTGCGAATAAACTCCACTTGTGTTCTCCATTTGTGAGGATTTCCTTCATGGGTTTTTAACTTTACAAACTTGGAATTGGGTTTTTAACTTCACAACCAGGTCCTGATTTGAATGAGCAGGTTCATTCTCCTTTGAGCCAAGCTACTCGGATATTGCTAATCTTGGTATTTGAATGGTTCCATTTGTCTTCAGATTCCCTTTTCTGGAATTCCATCAATAGAGAATTGCTTTAACTCCAGAACGCTAAAGCAACACTCTCTTATTGTGAGTTATTTACACATTTCTCTAAAGGAGCGGTTCTCAACCTGAGGGTCGAACGACCCTTCCACAGGGATCGCCTAAGACCATATTTCCGACCGTCTTGGGAACTGAGACGCGGATCCTCTATCCATCTCCAGGCGGTCTGCCCACGTGTAGAGACGCCCACATACGGGGTCACTACAACATGAGGAACTGGATTAAAGGGTCGCCCGGCATTAGGAAGGTTGAGACCCACTGCTCTAAAGCTTCATTAGACAGGGAGTGACTTAGTATGACTTATCTCCCAGACAAATTCATACTCGTTTCACTCTCTTTCGGTTTGACCAGATAAGGGATGTATCCGTGGGGCTTTGTCACTGGTGTGACCATGAGTCACTGAGCTCATGAAAACGCAATGATGAGAATAGGGTCATGTCTAAACAGTCATGTTTAAGCCAACGTAAGCCATTGTCTTAACCTTGCCTTCGGACCTAGCAGGTTCAGCATGAGCTCTGGGTCCAGGGGGGAGAACAACTATGATCCTGAACTCTGGTGTATGTTTGGCTTTAGAAAATGTCACCTCCGTGAGGTCTGACTAGCCAGAGAGCATCAGCATTTTATGCAGAACTGTTTACAAATGCCGTTAAAATACTAAAAGGAGTCAAGTTATAGCAAAGGTCCTGAGGTGGTAAGTGCTATTCCAATTATTTGGCATCTATCAGCAATTGCTTTTTCAAGCAATCAGAAAAATGACCACCAAGGCTGACATTTTCCTTGTCTGGAAACAATCAGATCCGATGGAATTAGCATGAGTGCAGTTGCAATGTTAACACAAACAAAGCGGTGAGGTCATTTATTTTACCTCCTGAGAGCACCAGGCACACTGAGGTCCAGTGAGCAAGCAGTCTTCACAGGTCTCTGCACCTCCCAGGGCACAGCCCCCTAGGTTTAAAGGCAGCAAGACACAAGGGATCAGGTGCATGTTCAGTTATCCCGTTTACGAAACTCATAAAGTACTTCAACAAAATGACACTAGTGTTTATTTCAGTCTTCAAGTAGCAGTGACAAATGCCAGCAATTCTTCTCAAAGCTTATAGTTTACATCACTACCTCGAAAATATACTTAGCTGATAAGCCAAAATACCATTTCTCTTTTGTCTTTAAGAGGTGAACATTACTCAATGTTCACAGGTGTAAAACCAGCAGATGCATGACCCTTACTCAAGATTTGCCACTTGAATTAAAAAAAAATACCCTCATTAAAAATACTTCTTTCCTAAACATAATCTATTTTAATTTTAATAAAAATCATTTTTCCTCCCTCAAGATTCTTACTTTGCATTTAAGTGGGTGCCCTTGTTGGACAAGAAATAGAATCTATTTTTATTTTAATAAAAATCCTTTTCCCTTTTCCCTCAAGATGCTTAGTTTTAAGTGAGCGCTCATGCTGTACAATAAAATAGTTAGAAAAATTTCCAAAATGGTGTCACAGTGTTAGTATGAGCGAAGTCCTATTCCTTAGTAATGCTATTTAATTCTCCTCATTAAGACGCCTGTTCAACCTTTGTATTTATTTACCTTCAGCCTGGAGCATTCATTGTGGGAACAGCCCCACGTCTGCCCGTAAGTTTTTAAAGGGCTCACTGGAACAGATCAGGTTTTTAAAAAGAAAAAGACTTCTGATCTAGTTCCTGAGCCAAATGACAGGTTTGTCAAGGATACCACGAACACAACATATCGGCGAACTTGAGTCTTACCTTGAACGTGAGCATTCCTTCCTAGAAATAGAAAGAACAGGCAAAGCCGTTCAATCCCCATCCGTGTTCACTTCTCGCTGTGCAGACAGATTAAAAAAAAATGAATCACTTCAACATTATAAGACCAGAGCGGAACATTGTTAAAGTCTTTCTTTCTTGAAGCATAAAAATTTTAAATACTACTTACACTGCTCTGAAAAGAAACTTGAGACGTAAGTAAAAAGGTTTTCATTAAGACTGAAATGAAAACAGAGGCTACTTGGACAGGTAAAGAAGAAAAGCTGTGTTTAAAAGCAACTTCAACATGATTTACTTCCTTGTTCGCCTTATATGGAAGGCAGGTGTACAATCAGCAAGAGGTGGGGAAATTCATTCAGGAGAAAAGTTTCTGTGTGTGAATTCTGAGTCTCTCTGCGACCTAGAGAAAAGAATTAATAACTTGAGTGAAATATTGATCTGTTAAATGCCAAATGAGAAAATGAAATATGGTCTAGAGTTGTTTCTAAAATAATTATAAATCAATGTAAACAGTAAGGAGGCTTAGATAAAGCACAACATATGAGTTATCTGTCAGGAAGGCTAGATAATGACATAAATGAAAATACTTAAGATGTTTGTATCCGGTCATTAAATTGTTTGCAAAGAATTGAAATGCTCTCTGAAAGATAAAATTCATTATTTTACACTCAATCTGTGAGGCAGGCAAGGGAAACAAAGCACTTGGATCTCTTGCATTTGTTTTAAATTGATAAAAGTCAGTTTTCTGTAAGTATAGAATTCTTGAAAAGAAAGTAACACTGGAAATAAGCAAACTAAGTATCTTATTTTTAATTCTATTTCCCCCAAAACGTTTGAAGCCCCTTCATAGATGAACATTATACTTGGCCAAAATTAGATTTACAAGCTAGTCAATGCAAATAGGAATGAGAGTGCCTGAGATCCTGTATCCCTCAGCAGGGCACTAACTACCTGCTCCGGCCTGCATTCAGCCCAGGTCCTAGCACACTGGGAATATTGATTTCCAAATGAAATGCCTCTATTTCTTTATCTTTCACATACACATTTTATGGTACTAACTGTATGTATATTGTTGTTTTTCTCAATGCATTCAGGTGTGTGTTTAGGATCGGTAGCAACCGTAAACAAGAAAAGACTTAAATACTCACTTGTCACTTGGCAAACTGTTTGACCTTAGATAACTTTGTGGCTGGGCTTATGTGTTGGGAGGTTCCTTTTAAAAGTATATTCATAGGCAAGCATATATGAAACCTGTGGAGAGAGGAAAACTAATTATAGATGGTCCAGGTTCCTCTCAGAAGCCTATGTTCAATCTTAAACTCCATCATCCACAAGAACATGGCAAGAATGCTGAAGAGAAAAAACACAATTATTAAAGAGTGGGAAATATGCCTTTCGGGGAAAAACAATAGTTATATGCAATCGGGGGCTTACTTTGAAGATCGAGGTGAAGTTTATCTATATTCCTGACTTTGTCTCCATCCTTATATCCATTATTCATTGTCATTTATTCATGTCTTCCAAAAATACTTACTGAGAATCTCTGCTTGTGCTGCCAAGTACAAGCAGAGGCTATGTTAATAAACAGAGCCAAGTTCTAGACTCATGAAGCATATATTCTAAGCTAGTCAATGATGAGGGGAGACAGACTCTAAATTAAAATCAGGTAGTGATAATGGCTATGAAAAATTATAGCACTGGTTAAAAGGAAAGGTGGTATATTGTTTTATTTAGCCTAGTCAGGAAGTATCTCTTTGATTGATGAGCCAGAGATACCTTGGGCGAAACATAATGTGCAAAGGCCCTGAGGTAGTTTCCTGCTAGACGGAGTCCAGGGAAGGACAGCAGGGAAGGAGAAGAGCGGTGATAGAAAGGAGACAGAGGTTAGGTCATATATAGTCTTAAACTTGATTTAGTTGGGATGTTATTGGAAAGGTGAAAGCAGAGGAGTCATATAATTTCATTACTATTTTTAAAGGATCACCCAAGCTTTTCTGGGGGTGAGAGTGCATGTATGTGGCAAGACAAATTTGGAACTTACTGATGTCATCTAGGACACAAAGATGGCTTGTACTAGGATGTTGGTGATATCGGTGATTAGCTTCAATCACATTTTGAAGGCAGAATATTCACATCTAATTAATAGAGGAAAGGTATTGGTTTGGCCTGAGAATCTGAATGAATCATATTCTTTACTGAAATAGGTTACACAGGGAAAGAAGTTATCATGTGGAGAAATGGAATCAAGAGCATATCAAGTTGAGACGCCTAGAGGAAATCCAAGGGACGACTGATACCATGTAGACTATTAGTCTTTGAGTCTGGAGGGGACAGTGAGACTGTTTCAACCATACAGTTAGGACCATCAGCCCGGAGATCCCATTTGGAGAAAGAATAAGGAGTTCACTAGGTTACTGAGAATAGGCAGGCAAGACTTTTGAGGACTAATCCTAGGGAATGCTGTTATCTAGAGGCCAAGAAGACAAGATTCAGGAAAGGAAGTGGAAAGAAGGAGCAGACTTCAACCCAGTGCTCCAAGATATGAATGCAACATGCCAGCATGGAGTAGGGAACCAGAGGGGGAGTCTGAGGGGCTGGCCCCAATCCCAACTTCGTGGACACCTGCCCCTCCCTCAAGAATTTATTTCAGAGGACAGCACTGAATCTGAAGCTATGGGAGAGGGACATGTCTGATCAGAGCACATGGGAGCAAATGAGGGCAAGGAAGAGAGAGTTGAGCACATCCTGACCCACCTACCTTTGAGGACAATATTCCCACTCAGCGCAGCCAATCCACAGAAAGACCATAAGGCAGGCCCCACTATGAGACACTACATGCCTCACTGACCCATAGCCCTATCGGAGACAATACTGGAGACACAGTGTGGAAATTCCACCTGATCTGATTCCACCACACCGAGGCAAAACACTAAGGGTGTGGAACAGAACAGCAAGGGGATCAGAGCAATGAAGTCCGCAGGGAATACAAAAATAGACTTTGGGGCCAGGGCTGGGTGCCCCAACAGACTAGACCAGAAAACTCCTAAAGGCCAACAAACAGTCCTGTAACTAACTACAAGCTTTTCTTTCTTGTTGTGTTTTTTTGTGCATTTTTTTTTGTCATTGGCTTGTTCTTGTTTTGTTTTATTTTTTTGCTTGGTTTTGCTCTGTCTTGTTTTTGTGCATGTTATTATCTCCGCAGTTCTGTCTAAATAAGATAGGCTGGATGAACAGTCTGGAGGAGAAAACAACAGGATCGACAGTTCTGGGACAGGGGAGGTGGGGGGAAAAGAAATGGTGTTAACAAACCCAGGGACAAGGGAACAATAAGTGATCCAAATCGGTGGTGAGGTGGGTGTGGGAGGCCTGGTAGGGCGTGGCCAAAGGTAATGTAACCAAGAGGAATTACTGAAACCCTAATGAAGGCTGAACATGATAGGTGGACAAGAGGAAAGTAAAAGGAAATAACTAGGAGGCAAAGGGCATTTATAGAGGTCCAAATAAAGGCACGTACATATGTAAATATATTTATATATGAGGATGTGAAATACATGTGTGCATGTATGTATAGATTTAGTATTAAGGTAGCAGATGGACATTGGGCCTCCACTCAAGTACTCCCTCAATGCAAGAATACTTTGTTCTATTAAACTGGCATTCCATGATGCTCATCTTTCTGACACAATTGCTGAAGACAAATGGATGCATAAGCAAATGTGATGAAGAAAGCTGATGGTGCCTGGCTATCAAAAGATATAGCATCTGGGGTCTTAAAGGCTTGAAGGTAAACAAGTGGTCATCTATCTCAGAAGCAACAAAGCCCACATGGAAGAAGCACACCAGCCTGTGTGATCACGAGGTGTCGAAGGGATCAGGTATCAGGCATCATCAGAACAAAAAAACCATATCATTGTGAATGAGGGGGAGTGCGGAGTGGAGACCCAAAGCCCATCTATAGGCAATAGGACATCCCCTTACAGAAGGGTCACGGGGAAGAGATGAACCAGTAAGGGTGCCATGTAGCACCAATGAAACCTACAACTTTCCTCTAGTTCCTAAATGCTTCCTTCCCACCCCACCCACCTCCCACTATCATGATCCCAATTCTACCTTACAAGTCTGGCTAGACCAGAGGATGTACACTGGTACAGATAGGAACTGGAAACACCGGGAATCCAGGGCGGATGATCCGTTCAGGACCAGTGGTGAGAGTGGTGATACCGGGAGGGTGGAGGAAAGGTGGGGTAGAAAGGGGGAACCGATGATAAGGATCTACACATAACCTCCTCCCTGGGGAACGGACAGCAGAAAAGTGGGTGAAGGGAGACAGTTGGACAGTGTAAGATATAACAAAATAATAATTTTAAATTAACAAGGGTTCATGAGGGAGGGAGGAGCGGGGAGGGAGGGGGAAAATGAAGAGCTTATACCAAGGGCTCAAGTAGAAAGCAAATGTTTTGAGAATGATGATGGCAACATATGTACAAATGTACTTGACACAATGGATGTATGTATGGATCGTGATGAGTTGTAGGAGTCCCCAATAAAATGATGAAAAAAAAAGATGACAGCCTTCCCCCCCCAAAAAAGAATAGAAAGAAAGAAAAAGAAAACCCATTGCTGTAGAATTAATTCCAACTCAAGGCTACAAATCTTTACTGAGGCCAATGGCCACATCTCTCATGCACGGAGCAGTTGGTAGGATCGAACCACCAATGTTTTGATTGGCAGCCAAACACCCACCTGCTGTACTTCCCAGGCTCTTCTTTAAATATTTCCTGCTAAATAGAAACTTATCTTTGTTGAGGCCAGTTCTCCCTGGCCTCTATCTTAAAACTTAACTTTCTAAGCACTAAATGTACAAAAGGTCTACAGTGAAAGCCCTAAACTAATTTCAGAGTTGCCATCTGAATTCAGCCTCCATTTATGGTCCTTTGGACCATTAACCAGCAGCATGAATGGCTTTGCCCTTGGGCGAGGTGCATTGGGAAGTGGATTACTGACACTCCCAGAACCTATCCCGGGAGAAGTGGTATAGCTCATGGGAGAAGTCGTATAGCCCTTGGGGACTCATCTGGGTGTGCCTTTAATGGAAATTAAGGTGCTCTGGTCACATGTCCATGAGTCACATCCCAACTGTGATTGAGCCCTGCGCTCTTCTAACATAATGTACATGCCCCAGTCATGGTCCTGTTCCCACGCCTGTAGTCCCACCTGTGATGTATTGATCTGCTGCCAGTCCGCCTATGGTAACCCTT